TCCCACCCCTGCCTCCGCTTCCGGCGGGGCTCTCGGGGCCCCGTGACCCCGAGCGCAGGCTGAGGCCGGCGCTGCCGTTGGTTTTTAGCCACTTTATGAATAAAGCCATTTGTTATTTTCAGTGAACTGTCTGTCTGTCTGTCCCGGGCTGTCCGTCGGCGCTCCATCCCTTGAGCCCCAGCTCCACGTCCAGGCGACCTGGGGCTGCCTGAGGCCCCAGCCTCCCGGGCCGGGCGCACGCGGGCCAGCGGCGCCCCCTCTTTGGTGTGACCTCTTCCTTTGGGTTCTAATACAAGCTGGTCCTTCAGAGCCTGAGGTGTGAGTCACGTTATCTGTGGGAGAGAGGTCAAAGGTTGTCATGTGGATGAAGTGGGTGCAAAGGCCCTGGGGTCGGTAGGAGCCGGGCAGGGGAGGGGCTGGTTTGGGGGTGCAGGGCGGAGGCCCGGGGTCCGGGGCTGATCGCCCCTTTCTGTGTCTGTTTCAGAAGGAGCTGAGTCTGCCTCGCCGTGGCCGCGGGTGAGTGCCGGGGCCGGGAAGAAGGGGTGCGGACTGACCCAGGGGTCCCTGCGGGGCCGAGCCTGACATCAGAGAACCCACGGCCTAGAGCTGCGCGGGGCGCCCCGGACACCCCCGGGAGCAGGAGGCGCGGGCGGGAGGGCGGAGACGTGAGGCCGCCCGGGGCGGGGGCGGGCCGAGCCAGCCAGGGTCACGCCGTGCTCCGGGTCGGGAGAGGGGAGGTGGAGGCTGGGGACCCGCCGGGGCCGGGCCGGGGCCGCGCAGGACCGCGGACAGAGCCGCGCCGGGCGTCCTGCAGGCAGAGTGGGCGTGGCGAGGGCTGAGTGACAGGTGGGCGTGGCACTTCGGCGAGTGGGCGGAATAGGGAACGAGGACGGTGCTGATAGGCCTGTCTGGCCTTGCTGGCTGGTGGGTGGGCGGGGCCGAGAGGCCGGTGGGTGGGGATATCGAGCAAGTGGGCGTGGAAAAGCAGGCGGGGAGGGGCTGATTGGTCGCGGGGCGGGCGCGTGAGCTCGGCGGGCGGGGCTGCTGGCGCTGCCTGTGCGCGCGGCGGTCTTTGCGGGCTGG